TATAGGATCCGGCCAGGCCCAGAAAGTTCGGCAGTTGTTGCTCAACCCTCCTGGCTTTTTGAAGCAGGGGCTGGACGTCCACAGCGACCAAGTCATGCGGGTGCAAGCTTTTTTTAGGTCAGCATGATCTCCTCGACCTCGGCATTGGGGAAAGCATTCTCTCCGACTTAGACGGGCACCTTGCGACCTTTGCCGTGGAGGCCAAGTCGCAGGCGCTCGCTGAGTGGAAGGAGTGGCTTATTCAGTCCATTGATCAGGGCGCCAGGAGAGCTCACCAGCTTGTTAGAGGCAGCCAGCCGTGGACCCCCACCACGACCCTCAGCAGAGAAGGAGCTGCCATCTCGGACCCCCTGGCGCTGCTTGCCGCTGAAGCCAGTAAGTTCAGTCAGTTATGGGGCGCCACCCCCGACCCCCCTCGAAGGAGGCCAAGTTCCATTACGTCGAACCCCTCCCTCGCCTCACTGCTGATACTCTTCGGTCGGCCTCCAGGCGGTATGCCGCCCGATCTGCCACTGCTGTTGACGGTTTCCACATGAAACGTTATGCGTCTCTCTCTCTGATGGGTCCTTGGGTGTCCTGGGTACCATGTACTCCATCATGGAAGCTGCTGGGCTTTTTCCTGGGCAAACTTCCCTGGTTGTGCTTTCCCTTCTCAACAAACCCTCTGGAGGGTTTCGGCCAATCGGGCTTTTTTGCAGCTCCTACCGCCTCTGGGGGCGGCGCCGCAGGCCATGCGCGGCCCAGTGGGAAAGCAGGTTTCAGCGCAGCTATTTCGCTGGGCCCCAGTTTTCTTCCGCTGTTGATGTTGTCTGGAGGCAGACTTTGCGAGCTGAAGGAGCTGTGGCCAGCAGCCAGTCTAGCTGCACGATTCTGTGGGACCTCTACAAATGTTTTGAGTTGGTGCACTTGGCCACGCTCCTTCAGCGTTGCCACCAGTATGAGTTCCCCGTCCAGTTAGCTCGGCTCGCTGTGCAAGGATATCGACACGGCAGATTTGTTTCCCTCGGCGGCGTGGTCGTCGGCCCGTTCCACGTCGCCAACGGCGTCGTCGCCGGCTGTGGTCGTGCGACCACCAGGGTGCGTATCAATGCCATCCCTGCTCTCGACGCGTTGCAGCTGCCACCAGGTACCGCGCTCGACGTTTACATTGACGATTACGGTCTCAGCTGCAACGGGTCCAATACCTACATTGTCGGTAACCCCCCTGAGGCCGCGGCCAACCTCAGGGAGGCCATCGAGGCCGATATGGGCGCGGACAACCCCCCTGGTAAAGCTTCCCTCGTTGCCTCGTCGGACGCGCTCGCCAAGCAAGTCAGGGGCTGTCTTGGTGGCCTCGCGGGGCCCATCATCCAAAGGGCCGTCAACTTGGGGATTGATTTTGCCCCTGGCACCTCCCGTCGGCTTCCTGGTAGGGGGGGGGGGGGAAGTTTTCTGACCGCGAGCGGGCTTTCAACAAACATGTTAGAAGACTCAAGCGAGCCAAGCGGCCCCTCGGGCGGCATGCTGTCAAATTTTTTACCGCGGGTCCCCTTCCCAGCCTCACGTTTGGGTCTGAGGTTCACGGACTCTCGAACTATGAATGGGACAGGGTGCAGGTCGCCGCCGCCAGTACTATGCAGCCGTCTGCCAAGATGAGGTCACGGACCTCCGTCCTAATTATATCCCAGGACCCGACCTGGTACCCTGCTGTGGCGCCGATCGTGCGGTACTCCAAGGAGATTTGGGCCAACCAAACCAAGCATTTTCCATTTGTCATCCCGTGGGCTCAACTGAGGGACTCTTGGAGGGTTGTTTTCGGATCCCCTGGGCCCAAAACCTGGCGTGGGGTTAAGGGCCCCCTGGGCGCCATGAAGCTGGCCTTGGAAAGGAGTTCTTGGAGCATGCCCAACTACTGTACCCTCTTCAATGATTTTGGAACCGAGGTTCTGCTTACCGTGACGCCCCCAGCTCTTCTTATGAAACTTTTGAAAGCCGCAGTTCAGAGGACCCACGAGAGGGCTAGCGGTGCTGCGCTGCTCCCACATCTTCCAGGAGCTCGAGTTTGCCATGATGTTGTGGCTGCTACTTTGCGCTCCAAGAAGGGCACGCCGTTCCAGCGAGGTTGCGCCAAGGCTGTTGCTCGTAATGCCACTTGGACTAGGACCACAGCCGCCGACGCAGGATCTGCTGTTTGCTCGGATGGCGAACTTTGTGGGCGTGCGCCTGATACTATGCTACATCGGCTTTGGTTCTGCCCAGCGTGTCATGACAAGAGGCAGGAAGCGTTTGACAGTTTCAAGCAAAAGTTTGCCCTTCTGCCTCCGCCTGACCTCACGCCCGAGAACAATGAGGAATATTACTTGCTGTACACTCGTGGCCTGTTTCGGCATCCAGGGGACGTGTTTCCGTTTCCTGCTCGTGATGATGTAGAAGACACTGGCCTCGAGATTATTTGGGCCAATGACCTTTCTTCGAGATCGCTGTATTTCTGGGCGCATATTCGTGGATGGCTCTTGTGTTGCGCACACTGTTAAAGAACTCCCCAGGGCTGGGTGGGGGATCGTGATGGTAGGTGGCGACGGCAATGAAATCTGTCGCAGTAGTTGTCCCCTGTGGGCCCCCAACCTCCAGACTGCCCAAGGGGGAGAGTTTGGGGCCTACGCTGTTGCTGCCATGCATGCCATGCCAGGCAGCTCCATTTACTCTGATTGTAAGAATGCGGTTGTCCAAGCCAATGAGGCGCTGCTCAGGGCTCTGTCCTACAGGCGTGTGTACTCTGGGTTTGTACTCCCCACCCACCGTGAGCTTTTGGAAGGGGTTTTTAAGGTCAAGGCTCACGTTGAAGAATCCAGTGACCTAGCCGAGCTTGGGCGTTTCTGGAAGCAAGGTAACGACCTTGCTGATAGTGTCGCCAAAGGCTCGCTTGCCCGCCACCCACAACCTGACCCCGAGGATGTGGAATGGCTTGAGCGATGCCTCTCGATTGCTCAGTGTGTCATGCGTCTTTCGGCCGGGCTGATGCCAGAGTGGCCTCGGCTCAACCTGAAAGGGGTCCCGCTTGTGCCCGAGCCCCCCAGGCCCAAAGTTGAACCGAGGCCTCACCAGCGGACTCGTGTCTCATCTTTTTGGCAGTGCATTGAATGTCTCAAGGTTGCCAAGGGCGTGCCGCGGAAAAACCCTTATGGGTCTCGGCTTGGAGGTATGGACTCGCCGGCCCCTGGGAAGTGCCTCAGAGATTCCAGGCTGAACCCCGCGGAGCTTTCTGCCCTCAGGCACAACTGCATTGCTTTGCCATGCTCCGATGGTGCTGCTCTCACTATTTGTATGCGATGCTACGCCTATACCTTCCACGGGCAGCTTCGCAATTTGCTTAAACTGTGTGATGGTCAACCTCAGAGTGCGGGCGCTAAGTCCGCCTGGAGCTCTGCGGGGGGCAGGCCGCCATCCAAAGCGCAGAGGTATCTCAGTCGAGGTCGGCCTCTGGTACGGAGACCAGGAACCCGAGGAGCTGCCACGGCGCCTCACCGACCGAGAACGGGAGTTGCGGACTGCTAAGCTGGTGCGTAGACTGGTCACCGCTGCTGGGGAGGCACCAGTGCCAGCTGATGTGGAGCTGGAGGTGGATCCTCCCTTGCCTGCTCCTCCACAGGGGCAGCAGCGTGATCGAGTCGTCGACCCGTCGTTAGAGTCGTCGTCTACCATCGTCAACGCTGCTGGCCCCTCCTCTCTCCCATTCGATCCGCTCGATGCGGAAGAGGAAGCCGCCTGTTTTTTGTTTGACACGCCTGATGAGAGTCCCCCTCTGCAGGCTGTGCAGCAGTTGTCCGAGCCTGCATCTTCGGTTGCTGCGCTCGGCCGCGTCCGAGCAGCCCTCGCCCTTGAAGAGGACGAGGCCCCGCTCGTCGCCGTCGCTGCACCACGGTCTGATGACTCAGACTAGGAGATGCAGCATGCGCTTCCCGCGTGTTGCGTCTCGCCCTGGCCTCATTCTTC